CCCCAAAACCCCAAAACCCCAAAACCCCAAAACCCCAAAACCCCTTCGCTCCTTTAGTGAATTGACACATAAAATATAATTAAATTGTATATGTCCTTCATGAAATATCTTGAATTCTCTGACCAGGCTTCGTTATCATCTCAAAGTAAATCTGCTCATTATTTCTAGAACCAAAAAACCCTCCTGAAAAGAATCAGAAACTCAGTTTGCTTTATGGAGTCTTCGCAGGAATATTGTTCGGGCTCGGAAACTATACCCTTGGCATACATGTAAAGATGGGATACCTTGCTACTTGAATTCAGGGAAATGGTGCTCTTTTAGGTAAGCTTAGCCATGAATATAGCAGTTATTGTCATAAGCACTGTATGCTCAGTACTTGCATCTGTAATCAGTAATTCTCATGTTATCATTTGTAGAAAAGAAGCAAATCTGGACTTGGGAAGATAGCAACTTTCGAAATAACCAAACAGGAGGATTTCACTGGAAGAACTTAGCAGGAATCCTGATATATTGTTTGGTAGTTATCCTCACAGCTCTATGAATCAACCTGACTTTCAGGTTTGCTCTATATGCTGATATCAACCAAGGAATCCTCACAAGCATCTTTGGAGTGTCAGCCCTAATTTCTGCAGTCTTGGCCTACTTTTTATTTGGGGATAAATTAAAGAATTATCATGTAAGCAATGAGTATAAATCATAGATTTTTGGGATGATAATGATCATGTTCTGAGTAATTGGCTTTGCTTTTGGTCAAACATCCAAAATTCACCACAAGACTAACTCTGAAAATGCAACTTTCTACTCTATTCTTTCAATTTCACTGGCATGTTTATGCCCATTAGGATTTGCATTGCAAGGGATGACTGCTAGGTATACCTCAGAGAACTATGGATTGGACTCATCGATACTGACAGCTTGATCTTATACAATTTTGAACGTGCTATACTTAACAGTCACAATTTGAATGTACAGCACTGATGAGCATCCATTTATATTATCAGAGTACCTCATAATCCTCTTTTCAGGTTGAATTCTCTACTTTGGAGTCCTATGCGTCAATAAAGCCCTTGTTCTAGGTCTGGCAGGCCCAGTATTTTCCCTTGAAAATATTGAAGTAATCATAATGACCATCCTTGATATCATTTTTATGGGTGTTTATCCCAACTCAATCGAAATTCTCTCAGCTTGTGTTGGAGTAGCAGGTAACCCTGATTTACTTTTGTTGACTAATTTCATAATCTAGGTTGCATCACGATATGTCTCTACCCAGAAATCTCAAAGTTATGTGAAAGTCAAAGAAATTAACACTAAATATTATCAACCAATATCTATGGATTGGGGTTTTGGGGTTTTGGGGTTTTGGGG